TTGTTAAACGTTCTTTGTCGTGACAGCCGTGCACGCAGGCTGCGTTGACTTCAAGAGAGGCTTCATGTCGTCGACTTGTCTGCACGTCTTTGTGTGCGTGCGTTCGAGACAGTGCGTTAGTGCGTTCGAGACAGACAGTTCGCTAGAGAATGACCGGCGAAAGTAGTATTGTATTAGTTTTGGCGTGCTATGTGTGTGCGTACGTGCGTCTGTCCGTGCACGTGTACGTGCGTGTGTGTGCGTGCATGCTTGTGCGTGCAACGCGTGTGTGTGTGGAGAGAGATGCGTATGCGTGAGCAAGCAGTCGTAGCCGTATACGCCCGTATATACTCCCGTGTTCGTACGCTTATGGCAGGCGAGGTGGGACACAAATGGTATTTAGTGACAGTCACATATTCGAATTAATGTCTATCATATATTCCATTTAGTGACAGTCATATATTCCATTTAGTGACAGTCATTAAATCAATCAATCAGATACAACTTATTTTTTCTCAGCCAATCATAGGCATGGAATTATTGACAAACACTAAATGATTTAATGATAGACACAAATGGTATTTAGTGACAGTCACAAATTCGAATGAATGTCTATCATATATTCTATTTAGTGGCTATCATATATTCCATTTAGTGACAGTCATTAAATCAACCAATCAGATACAACTTATTTTTCTTTCTCAGCCAATCATGGGCATGGAATTATTGACAAACACTAAATGATTTAATGATAGACACTAAATACCATTAGTGTCTCACCTCGCCTGCCATACGCGTGTGCACGTTTATGTGCGCGACGATGCGTGCGGGGATGAGTGACGAAGCAGACGCAGCAGATAATAAGTAAACATGTACGCGCCCACCTGCGTGGCAAACCAAGCAAGCAATGCGTGAAGACGATGACACCGACCATGTTGACCGGTCATGACAAACACACGACTCGCGCTTCGGTGTTCTGCCCCGTACACGTACGTGCATAATTACTAGACCTCCCCCCTGACCTGAGACACCCAGCCTGAGAATGAGAAGTAGACTGCGCGCTTTACCGGTAGGTTAACCGCTAGCATAATATGAAGCATATATAACGCGGAGCATTGCAAGTGTCACTGACTGACTGATCACTGGCTAGTAGCTCTACCCGTGTAGACCCTTCACCCCCGCTTCAGGAGAAGGAATTACGCGGGGAAACAGAATGTAGCGGGAGCGAAGAGGCGGTAGAGCTAGGCTATTGCCTTCCGTTCTCGGTGGTTGCCCTTCGCTGAGCGATGTGCCGAGAGAGGGCGCCCACGCTGTGTATTATCGGCCGTGCTTCAAATATCAGGGGAATTTTATTGCGATTTAACGAGCCGGTACACTGTTTGAACAGCGACGACGTCGTCGGCGGCGGCGGAGAAACAGGTACGGCGACGTGTCTGCTTGTTGGCGTGTCGGCGTGTCGTCGCGGCTCGCCGACTAGACAGACTCGTAATCATGCTGGTTGCACGCGTGCTGGGCGTAGATGCGGGGCGGGCGGGCTGCGTGGTGATGTGCGGACTAGGAGCATTATCCTATGTTGCGCGGCGAATCTCGCCTGTCAGTATATTAACGACAGCGGTTAGTGACGTGGAGGGAGGGCGGAATGCCACTTTGGGACCCCGGTACGTAAAGCATCGTCATCGTCATCATCATCATCAGCAGCAGCAGCAGCAGCAGAATCATCACCATTTTCATCATCATCACCATCATCATCGTCGTCGTCGTCGTCGTCGTCGTCGGCATCATCGTCGTCGTCATCGTCGTCGTCGTCATCATCACCATTTTCATCGTTGTCGTCGTCATCATCACCATTATCATCGTCGTCATCGTCATCATCACCATTATCATCGTCGTCGTCGTGTAGCGGTGCTTCTTTAGTATGCCAATGTAGGGTCGTCGTTGTCGTCGTCGTCGTCATCATCACCATTATCATCGTCGTCATCGTCATCATCACCATTATCATCGTCATCGTCGTCGTCGTCGTCGTCAGCATCACCATTATCATCGTCGTCGTCGTGTAGCGGTGCTTCTTTAGTATGCCAATGTAGGGTCGTCGTTGTCGTCGTCGTCGTCATCATCACCATTGTCATCGTTGTTGTCGTCATCATCACCATTATCATCGTCGTCATCGTCATCATCACCATTATCATCGTCATCGTCGTCGTCGTCGTCGTCAGCATCACCATTATCATCGTCGTCGTCGTGTAGCGGTGCTTCTTTACTACGCCAATGTAGGGTCGTCGTTGTCGTCGTCGTCATCACCCTATCCCTAATTCTTCTTCTCCTAACCACTAATCATGACCCTCAACCCCATTGCTAACATGACCACATGTCTATCCCTATTAGCCCTCCTTATCCCTAACTCTAACCCACTACCCTAACTTATCTCTAACTATAACCTAACCCGAATCCCAACTTAATCTCAAGACCATCATTAAAACCTGGGGCAGTTCTAAATTAAACCTGGACCACAAAGAAGGTAGCTACGTAGCAGCGTTTATCGACACATGTGAGCGCCCTAATTCGATAATCAATTTAAACACGCCATAACCTCGTTAGGTTTTAATTACGCCCCCTACCCGTGACGTCATATCTATCGACTTATTAATTCGATCAATAGCCCATACACGCGATATTCTCGTTAGGTTTTAATTTCACCCCTTAACCGTGACGTCACATCTATCAACTTATTAATTCGATCATTCCCCATATAACCGTCACTTTTAGTCAATTCATTCACCTAATGGTGCCAGAGGTCTTCAGAGTTACAGAGTTACAGATATACAGAGTTCAGATTTACATACGTGTAATTTCCATTAAAATCATTAATCTGGTCCCATTCGGTTATCCGGCCCAGTCACACATACGCGACGCACGGCCCGCGCATTGAAAATTAATCAAAAAATGGAAAATAAGATCAGTGCGTCGTTGTGCGCCCAACTTTTGTCAGGATTTGGGAGAAGCTAGCGAGTTGATAACGAATGCACAGCGTGTTGCTAGCACGCTGCGCGTATACAGGGCACACATGTTAAAAAATCCAACGAATGCACAGCGTGTTGCTAGCGCACGGAACGAATGGTCCGCGCATGCACCGCGCATGCACCGCGCATTCAACGCACAGCCAGCGAACGGTCAGGTCAGCGAACGAACAGGTCATGCTCAGGGATATGGTGTTGTGAAGCACCCTTAACCAAAGCTCTCCATGATCTAATCCTAATGCTTAATCATGGAACCCACATCATCCTGATAATTAAACTGGGCACCGTATAAGCTTACTCCTTGAATGAGGCTTATACAAACTCTACCCTGAGCACCCTGTGCCCAGAGCCGTATATCTCTATATACGGTTCTGCCTGTGCCTAATGATAATCCTTTATTAAGTAGCTCATTATGCAAACCCACAAACCTAGGCAATGCGCTGTGATAGACATTCCCTTCAGCTTCCCTAGGCTTCCCTAGACACACACGCTAGGCATTCCCTTCATATGCGTAGATTGATCATTTGCATTCATTGATATAGTGTGAGCGTAGAGAGTAGCGTGTATGAGTATAAGGTTATCGTTTCATAGCTGCATAGTTCAAAGTGTCGCGTTTAGATTAGACTAGAACTGTTCGCATCCCATTATTGCATTCGCGCAAGGAATATTCCGTGGTCGCAGAAATAGTGATGTCAATTTAAATACCAATATTGATTTTTCTCTTCGCGTTGTGTCCGATGAAGTGGGTTGTTCGTTTGGTCAGTCTTACGTGCTGTCGATACAAGGCAATCAATCTGACATCTAAGTGTCTCTTGTCGAGACATTTCGTCAGCAAATGACAACCGTAGGTGCTGCGCCTGCTGCGAGTATTGCTGCTGATTAATGAGAATGAGAGTTGATTGATTGACAAATCTGCGCTGGCAGTCAGTCAGTCAGCCATCACCGTTTCCAGCTGTAGTTGACTCGTACGTACGCGTGTCGCGCTAATTTTGCAGCGCGCGATGTCTACACTGAGATCGTGACTTGCGTACGAGAACTCTATTCTCGGCTATTGGGAATCGTAATATTTATTCCTGCATCCTGCGCGTATCTCACTGCGTTGCGCAACAATACAATAATAATACATAATAATACAATAATAATACATAATAATACATAATAATACAATAATAATACATAATAATACATGATAATACAATAATAATACACAATACTACAAGCAACGCGGCTCGAACAAAATTTCGTTCAGATGCGCACGGCAATAATCGTTATTCAAATACTGCTGGCGCCGAACAATTTTTAGAGTTGATGAGCTAGTTGTATTTGAGCTTCGCCGTGATTCACTCACTCACCGATCTCCATTTCTATCGTACAAGCGTGCGAATAGACCGACGACGACGTCGGTGCTACGTGGGGATTAAATTTTTGCTAGCTGGCGCGTATTAGGTAAAAATTCCGGACGTTGCGACTTTCTCTGCCGAATGCTTTTAGCAGCGGATTTTCGGCGGGAGTGTCGAACGAAGCTGACATTCGTGCTGGTAATGTAGGGACGTCGATCAGAATCTAACGTAAAGGTTGATGAAGTCTCTCACGTACACGCAAACACGTCGCGTGGGTCCGGTTAATGTCTCCTGTCACGTTGACGCGTTGATCGAACTGCGTTTTTCCGCACTCGTCTCGGAAGGCAAGCGCGATGTGAGGAAACGTCGGTGGGGATCATCTGCGTAGCGTGGAGTTACGGGGAGGGGAGGGGGAAGTCCGGCTGCAGTTGTTTAATTAGGGTGTGAATACGTGACGTGGCTCTGCCAGCGATTGAATTCTTTCAGAGATGACGAGTGGTTACGCGTGACGTCTCCGAAAATCCGAGGTTGACGGAAAATGTGTTATTTTATATAAAATTATATTAATATAATATAACAATAAATAACAACAATAATACATAAAAATTATATATATAATTTATTATATTATATTATATTATAAGTTTCATTTCTTCTTTTTCCGCAGGCGATGCACCTTGCCATATTGGATAGAGTCCCTGAAGAGGAGAAAGACAGTAAACACATGTGAGTGTACCAACTAGACGTTTGTTAGATTGGCAAACCCTTTTCCCCCCAAGGACTACTGCTATAGTTTTACGAAAAAGAAAATCACATAAATAACGTGAAGCGCATGAAAGCCAGCCGACACCAGCTCATCAGCTGAATACCAGCTCTATTGTTATGCAGATATTTGCATGAGAGTTTTGTAGTACGCAGAAATGTCCACACCTCTCAAAAACAAGCAAACGCGCGCGCGTGCGAGTTACAACACAGCCGACCGCGGTATTCTACCGACACGTTGTACGTTCAGCCTGCACTCGGCTGCGCGCGATCGACTCGAGCAAGTTATTAGTTAATTAGGCGCGTCGGTCGCTAACGAGGTCGACCGTCGTTGCTAATGACGCACGTGTCCGTGCGCAGCGTCCTGATGGTCGTCGGAGCGGGGAGAGGACCGCTCGTCAGCGCCGCCCTGGCGGCAGCGAAGAGCGCCGACCGCAAGGTGAACATCTACGCCGTGGAGAAGAACCCGAACGCCGTCATCACGTGAGTCGGTGTGCAGCGCCACCTGTGCATGTTCATGTGTTTTGTCGCGCAGCATGGTAGACAGGCGGGGGGAGATTAAATTTGCACGTTGAGTACATAGCTATAAATATAGCGAGAATAAAGCGTTGAGTTCGATTACGGATCGAAGATCGACGATTTGTTTGTTGTTGATGTTAACGATAGTTAATTATGGTGACAGTTTCCTTGTCGTCGTTGATGTTTACAAACATGTTGTTGACCATTTGCCGCCGCTGCAGGCTGCTGCACATGAAGAATGAGTTGTGGGGCGACGCGGTGACGGTCGTCTCCAGCGACATGCGCTCGTGGGATGCGCCGGAGAAGGCAGACATCCTCATCAGTGAGCTGCTCGGCTCGTTCGGAGACAACGAGCTCTCGCCGGAGTGCCTCGACGGAGCGCAAAAGTTTCTCCGAGGTACTTACTACGCGGGGATGCGGTGGGGTGAGGGAGAGGAGGGGGAGAGGCCGCAGAAATCTGTATGTTATTTCTCTGCGTCGTGTTGTTGTACTGTTGTATTTCTTGTCGTTGCGTTGTTTTTGTGTGAAATTGTAATGCAATTTGAATTGATTGTTCGGTGGGGGAGAGGGGAGAGGTCATCGCTGCCGAATTCTGTATGTAAGCAATATAAGCAAGTTGTTTGGCATTGTGCTGCCATCTGTTGAAAAAATTATCCAAGGTCTGGGATATTTTCTTGTGTTGATTTCTTTGCTGAATTTGATGAATTGTGGAGAAAAGTGAGTTTCTCTGTTTATTTTCAGATGATGGTATCAGCATTCCTGAATCGTATACTTCCTACCTGAGCCCACTGCAGTCCTCAAAAATCTACAATGAAGTCAGGCAGTCAAGGCTTCTTAATAAACCTCCAGAGGTGAGAGTTTACAGAGTTAGTGTGTAATTAGATATAATAAGGTCACCCACCTACTCTTGTGTTGGGTTACATTATTGTATTTAGGATGTAACCCTATCAGCATGGCTACCACATGACTTGCGTTTCCATTGCTTTACTCAATGTAATATTTTTTTTAATTTTAATTTTTTACTTTAATTTTCAAGTTAATAACATTCCTACTTATATTATGGATAATTTTAGTTTTTAATTTTCTATACTTAAAATTATATGCAATAAAGATTTAATAATAATAAATTTATTAATACCGTATTCCCTCGTATAATAGCCCTGCTTGAATAAAAGGCATGTTGGTAAGGGCCGGGGGCGGGGGGGCTAAGCATACTTTAATCAATAACGCCGGGTCTCAACCCTGTGCACTCAAATGCATGAATGTTCCGTGGTTGATCAGTAACTAGTGCGTATTCAGAAATTGATGGACGGGGGGGGGGCAAGTCCTTGGCTGGCCGCAGGGACCTGCGCTGCCCGTTGAGATTCTCTCTGAACGAGTTTTTAATTACTTTCAGTGTTTCTGTAACAAGCGGTGCGGAACGTCGCAGAGTCTTAAACAAAAACTGTGAAAAAACATCAAAGAAAACTGTTTTGGCCAGATTCTTTGCACGAAATAACAGGGCCTGTCTCTAGATATATTCGAAGGAAATAAATTAAAATACCGGATGTGTAGCATGCCTAGTAAACAATAAACGCCCCCATGACCTGAATAAGGCATGCTTGATAGGCGCGGGTCATTAGAATGTGACGAAAACAATAAACGCGGGGTTTAATTCGAGGGAATACAGTAGATTGCTAGCTTGCGATCACCTCGTACGGCTACATTACCGATTCCTACATTACCGATTGTGTCGTGCGCTCATCTCGCTGGCTTGCGGTTTCAGACGGCGTTCGAGATGCCGTACATCGTGCGGCTGCACAACAAGCGCACCCGCAGTACTGGTGCTCGTCAAAGCGCAGCCTCTCTTCACCTTCACACATCCGAACAGAGGTGAGCAGGCGAGAGCTCTGACGTCACGCAGCGTCGGCATACGCGAGTCGGGCGCGAGTGACGTTTAATGTGGTGATGAGTGGCGGTGGGGCACCCTGAATGTGTTCTGATGTGTGTGTAGACTGAGAGCGGGTAACAGTGAGCGTGACTGTTTGGAGCACAGTCAGGTTTTTTGAACGTGTCTGTTTTGTTGTTTGGAGTATCCCGGCCCATTGTCACTTTCTAGATGAAGAAGTGGAATCACACATAATCTTTCGTTGCACATAACTGCAATTAACCAGTACTCGGAAACGTCTAGTAAAAACATGATTTTGACAATGAGTGGCTTAGAGAAGACAGGGGCTATTGTCACTGTGGATTTCATTGTGGATTCGTTATGTGGTTACTGTAAATGTAGACAATACTGTTGTGAAATAGGGTCTGTGCGGATACCTGCTATGCTTCAAAATGACCTTGTACGAACAGGGCAATGCACGGAACAGAAACGTTCTCTTACTGTCTGGGTGCTCGGTTGTACATTTCGAAATGATCTTGTACGAACAGGGCATGCAATGAACAGAATGTAGCCGTTCTCTCATTTGCTGGGTGCTCAATTGTACATTTCAGATTCTGTGATTGATAATAGCCGATACAGATGCCTGAAGTTTGACATTAGCAGCAACAACTGTATTCTGCACGGCTTTGCGGGATATTTCGAAACGGTGCTCTACAAGGACATCATGCTCAGTGAGTCATCAACGTTGCTTCCGCCCCCAGCGGGTCACGTATTAACCCCTCGTTGCCGGTCTTTGAATTACCCAAGGAGTCCTAGTCTAAGGATGTGCACTCAGAATTTGTTATTAATTCTCACTCAAGCCAGTATATTATATCAGGGGTTAACAATGACAAATTTGTCATTTGTTAAACCTCTAATATGTATGTATATATCTGTATATGCATTCACTTTGGTATAAACAATGTTTACTTACTGAGATGAGTGTATA